CATCAACAACGGATTGTACCGTTAACCACGGTCGATTCTGCAGACGCCTGTGGAAAAACAAAGAAATAGTGTGCGCCGCACAGCAAGTGTCAGAATATCCCCGACCAGGGCATCATCGGGAGGACAGCACTGCCTCTGCTTCGGTGCAGGCATTGCAAGCTCTCCCTCACCAGGTTATGACCACACACATTTCGAGACAGGACTCAATTCATCGTTTCGCTTTGCTTGCCTGTCCCACTTGGTGAGCCATGGATCTCGTGGATTGGTTGGCATCTTTCCTCCCTAATCGAAGCTGTCAACGTCGGAATCGTCTGCTCCCTAGTTCGGGCCTAGCAGGCTCATTGCGACTGCTACCAGAGTTCGCTTTATTCAGGAGGGGGCCTATGCCTTCACCGGGATCTTCTTCTTTATGCTCAGGAACATTTTCGTGGAGTGTGCGAAGTGCTGGAATCCGTTTTTCTTGATCAGGCCAACGAGGCTTCCAGCCATGCATGCCATATACATTCGCAGCTTTCCTGTAAGGCTGGGCTGGATTGAATCTTTCGACATTGGCTCCGGAGATCACTATGGGGTTGCAGCTGGTTTTGAGGAGATCCACCCACCCGAACATGCCCTCCCATGGCTTGGCTGGAAGAGACTCTTCCTGAGCTGCTACAGGTCATGCCATTCCCCTGCAGCCTCGTCGTGGTGCACTGGGAAAACAAGATACTTCATCTGAATCGCTGCAGTGCCATGGCATGTTTTGTCGGACATCGAAGTTTTACCAGTTTTACAAGTTGCCCTCGTTCCGCCGGTCGACATAAAGCTAGTGTCAGGGCAGAGCAAAAGGAATCGGACAGAGCTTGGCTTGGACCTGTTTGCCTTCACGACATGTCTTTAAGCTTTTTCTTATCTAGTCTTGCGGTGGTCATGTTCTGTCACCGTGAGACAGGCTTGCCATATCATGTGGCGGTCGAAAGACATGAAGGAAAAGGTAACATCAGAAAGTTTTGACCACTCAAGGTCCGATCCTCGCATCGGCTTCAGAACTTCTGGCTGCGGCGGACGAGCAGGGCAAAGTCGCGCCTGTGATTGCTCCAGCATAGTGATCTCAAACCGGACCGAACACCGAAAGAGAGGCCTTTCGCCACCCAAAGTAGGACTGCCACTCAGGCCATATTTCATGATATTTCATGCATCCTGCCGAAGCTGCTACAAGTAAGGTGTTAGATGACATTCTGGACATGCTGTGGTGCTCTGGGCAATGGCCCACTCCACGAGGGAATCTTCATCCAACTTGCCTCATGTGTGGAAGACTCGTCTGTGGCCCTCACAAGCAGATGGTACAAAGGTTGGAAGCTGGCCCCGTCAGGCGACTGCAGGACGGCACTCCTTTCCTCAGGCTCAATCCGGGTCGCATGTGCCGGCGCATCAGTGGCCCTTGGGTCTTGCCGGAGGCTCCAGCGGAGCCGGCTCCCTGGCTGCCGAAAGAGACTGGAGCATTGGTGTCTGCAGTGCGTTCCTGCGGCCACCTGGGTTGGGCGGCTGTTCAGCAGCACTTGGAAAGCAAAGGCTTCGCTCGCACCGACGTCCAGTGCCAAGCGCAGTGGAGACAGGTGTCTCAACCGCTGTCGACAACGGATGTCATAGACCTGAGCGCGGCAGATGACACGAAACTGCGAGAGACTCTAGACGGTACCGTGGGACGGAGATGGCAGTGGCGAGACGAAGCTATCAACGCGGAGATGCAGCTGCTTTTATCTTCTGATTCCGAGCGTGTCGAGCTGCAGGAACTGGGCTCAGGGCTCATTGCATTCTCACCACTTCTTTCTTGCTACCTCTCCTCTGCATCAATTTCCGACCCACCGTCAACACTGCTACCAGAGACTATCCAAGAAGACTTTTTGATCGGGCTCTCGGCCTTTTTTCGCACGCCGATGATTGATCGCACCGGATTGCTGAACAAGGACGCCGAGACTCTGTCAGTTACTGCATGCTGCTGACGCAACGCTAAAGTCCTTGAGTCCATGTCGGAGTTGTGTCCGGGGTGTAGAAGGTTGCATTGTAGTCGTGGCTTGGACCAAGTTCCTCAAAAAGCGCTGACGTGTAGTCCGAACCAAACAAAATGAACTTCAGGGCTGAGCAACGGCTGTCGGCTGGCTTCATCTCTTTGCAAATGTACCTTGTGTAGGTCTGTCGCGGGCGGGGGGCGGACAGTCCCGAGGACTGCAGCTTGCGATTGACAGTCCTGGAGCCCATGCCAGACAAGGACCCGAGCTTCTGCACGCCTCTTGGCGAGGTGCCTTCGACTGCTGGATTGTGCGAATGTGCTAGCCTTTTGCCGCATCAGTCCCTCCCTCTCAGGTGATGGATGGTCGTGCCAAAGAGTTAATCGAGCGGGCGCAGGCACAGCGCTGCAAACTGGAGGTCCTGTGGAGTGGAGGCTCGTCTCCGAGAGATCAAAGCGGAACTTCAGACAGCCTTGTCTTCGCCGAAAGCAGTACTTACTTCAGGATTTTCTGGACACGTATGCATGAGCATGTGCATGCCGGTTTGCTTGAGCATGCTGAATTTGACGGTTTGCGGGTAGAGGCTGGAACGTCGGATGGCATCTGTGGAGACTGACTGTTGCTTTTGGCATTTTCTGCTGCCTTCGCTGCCGGTGAGGGGGTAGCGGATTGCTCGACAGGGTGGCTGAGCATGTGCAGACAGACGCTGGAGCAGGAAAGCATTCTCGTCCAACTGTTGTGCAACGCACGCATGTCGCTCGGTGTCCTTTTCGGAGATAAACATGAAATTGTTTGGGCCTTTGGTCGGTGTCCACCTGCAGTTTGCGAGTGGACACCGGTCGAAGCGCAAGATAAATTGTTACGTTGGTGGAGGCTGGGCACACACTGCACATGTTTGCTGCAGAGTTTGGTGGCTACCTTTTCTCGGCATGCAGTACTCAGTAATATAGTTAAAAGAACACGACCCCAGAGCCCCAACAGAGGTAGTGCCAGAGACCCTTTAGCTAAAAGCTTCAGAGGTTCACTTCAGAGACTTGCTTGCGACAATGTTTGGCTCAAGGAAAAAGAGGTCCAGGGTTATAGATGCCCTGGTTGTTTAGGGGTTCNNCCGGGTTTAAGTACCTTCCTTCCCCTTTGATTAATATAGCCCCTTTCCTGAGCCTGACGCCTTCGAAAATACCCCATTCCTCTAGGCTTATGCTACCACCCTTTACGTGCATGAAGTGCCTGGAATTCGGGCTGCAGCAAGTGGTTGGGATAGGCAGCGCCTGCTGGAATCTGGGAAGTTCTCGAGTCGGCTAGAGCGTGCATTCCTGCAGGAAGCCAGTCACAGGCCACAAAGAGTTTTTTTGGTTAGTCCATCTTTGACCGGCATCTTCCTGAGCTGTTGGGTATCACAAATTTCTCACGATCTCAGACTTATGGCCTTCGGTTAGAGACCTGCTCATGCTGCCTCTCGACTTCAGCCTGGCACGATTACGATTTGCATGGCGGTGCTCTCCACAGTCCCAAGATATTTGATGCAGTCAATCGCCGCTTGCAAACGTCCACCACACTCTGGAAAGTTCTCTTGTCTTATCCCTGCCTGTTCCATTCTGCAAACAGGCATTGATTCGACATCGCTGCTGGTGGCACTGCTGCAAACACTGTGTCCCGACTGGCGACCGTGGAAGCCCAACAGTTCTCCTCAAGGAGCGCACAGGTTCCAAAATACTGGGAGAGAAGTCATGCAGATCCTGTCTGACAGTGGAATGAAGGAGATCCGAGATTTCACACGTTTCCTGGCATTGTCGTTCGATGCAGTGCTGATTCCATTGCAGAGTATCCCTGGACACGGCCTTAGCGCCAGACACCATATCATGGCAAGACAGAGCTTTTATTTGTGACGGTGATGGCTTCGCTGAGGTTCCACGAGAACGTGCTTCTCCCGCTGCATGAAGCTGGTGCCTTTGCCCTAGGGTGTAGGGCATGAACCCAAGTCATGAAAGTGAGCCGCAGGTGCCATTGACATGGAACCCATGGCAGATGCAGAGGAAACTGCATGCAGCATGACACTGCTGATGCGATTTAGACTGCACCAGATGTGGGAGGAAGTGTCCATGCTGTGGGAAGCACCCTCGTCCCGGATCACAGTCACTGGAGAGTGCGGGGATCAGATTTTTGGATCTCAGCTACTGGAGGCGCGGGGGCCTCTAGGAAGTCCCAAGGGCCAGCCAGGGGCCCCATGAGGCCGCCTTCGTGAAGTCCGAGCTTCGTGCACTGCACGAGCATGGCCTGGATGCGGCCTGGGAGGATCACTGCAAGCGGCCGTGGTCACTTGCTTTGGGGCTGGCCTGGCAAGGACACCGTCCTACATGCTCTGATGGACATGGGCATCGTGAGGCAGAGTGACCCAATGACGCAGAGCATGAACTTGCTGCTGTCGAAGTATTGGACTGTTATTGCACTCCTCTTCCGAGACTGCAATCGGTATTTCTCTAGCTTGGTGCTGTTATGGTGCTGGCACGCGCATCTACCACTTCTGCAGGCTGGACTGCAAAGAGCGATGGCTTCGTTGGTTCAGGCCCGAAAGGACCAGTGGATCTAGGAGCCCTGCAGCCGGTGAGTTGGAGTGAGAACATTCATTGACCAGGCCTTTCGTGGAACGATGCCCTCTTCCTGTCTACTCTGCTTTTGATTTGTCGGAGACTCGCGAATTGTGGGCAGTCGCTGTTTGTATCTGATTTCGCGAAGGCTTTGGTGGCTGAACGTGAGCTGCAAATGGCAGACCGTCTGCCTCAGGTCTCTGCGTTTCTTGCTCTGCCATCATCTCAGATTCCACCAAGCCCGGAAGGCTTTTCCAACGTCGACCTCAGCTTCGTTCATCTGACTTGAAAAGACTTGCTCACTTCTTCCAGACGGAGGATGGGCGATGTCGCGCTGTACAGCCAGATGTCAGACCGTACGTCTCTGTAGCACCAGGAGTTCCAGCAATGGTCCTTTGTTCCTGAGAACCATGCAGCCAAGATGAAGGATCACAAGAAGTGGCGCTGTACCCAGGATGTTGTCGGCATGAGCGAAGGATAAACTGCAAAAGATGGCTGCAAGGTCAACATACAAGCAGCCATTGAAAGACTACATTCTGGAGTTTACCCAGGTGGGGGAAGTCGGTTGCTCACGAGCTTCCACAAGCATGAGCGGTACCTGCATACCCTCATAGCCGGTTGTGTTGCAGGTTCAGAGGCACTAGAAAATTAAAATGATTTTTCATAGTTACGCAAAAAATGCGTTTATGTACTACATGCTACTGCACCCAAGCGTAGCGCGGGTAGTGCATCCAGGAACATAGTTCAGACAATTTTCGCATTCAAAGGGTCCAGTGTGGAGCGTGGGCTGTGTCACTTTACATGCTCGTTGAAATTTGTCTGATTTCGAGTTGTCGCAGCTCTCGTCACCCACAAAAGAATTCAAGGGCGCAGAGCATCGATGATGCCCACCGGTCTTTCCCGTGTAGAGACCCACCCCCTTCTGTCCCTGCAATTCTATTGGGAGTGTGTGTTAAGCAATCCGGTGTGTGCGTTGTGGTAAACTCTCGATGCTTTCTCTGCTCACACGAAGCCATGTAGGAGGGGACACGCAGAGTGCCCCGCAAGAACCAGCTGAAGTGAGGGCCGAGGTGCTAAGCAGTCCTTCACTGCCAACAACTTAGCTTCCAGAAGCTTCCAGGCGAGGGTAGAGTGCGGGGTGGCAGGGCCGAACTCTTCACGGCCCAGGCTTGGAAGAGGCAATGTTTCACGGAATCTTCCCAAATGCAGCATGCGCCTCTGTTAGCGCGCTGGGCCTGCTACGTGGAACCCGACTCACATTCCTTGAACCTCGAAGCTTCGTATCTGGCCCCGCTGTAGTGCCCTCGGTATGCAGGACCGGGAGTATTGCGACAGCAAGCTCAAAGTGGGATCCCTCTGCCAGGCTGGGGAGTCTTTTGCATGGTCGGGCTGCTTGCAAACCTCGCAGCTGAAGGTCAACGACGCCAGCCGTTTCGTCATCATGGGCATTGACGACAAGTTGAACGTACTCAGATTCGGACAGACTTGTTTCCGGCCCGTATTCAATCCAACGCGTTCGTTACTGTACTGTTTTCAGATGGTTCGTGGTCTTGAATGTTTAAACTGGATCTGAGGCTTGAGTGCCCGCCAAATGGACAAGCGGTATCCTGACTGCGCTTTGCAAAGAGCATTTCTGAGAAAACAGCTGTGTAGCTTCTGCAGCTGTGTTTCTCTTAAGGGTGCTGCTGCAACTGCTCCTGTTGCCTGTAGCACGGAATTCAGGGCCGGATTCTGATTTACTCACACTTGCCGCAGTGCTGCGGTAGTTTGTGAGTCGCAAATCGAGCTGGGGAGTCGTGGCGGCGAAGACTTTATGTTTTCTCGGGGTGGGCTGTTGGAAGTGGCCTTCCAAAGTTACAAGGCGTGCTCTCGCCACAGTGCCGTTCACGTTTCGTGGATTTACGGACGTTCTGGATCAAACTCATTGCGACGGCGACAGGATCTGCATCGTGGTCAGGGAGCGCCGCTGTGCCTGACCGTAGCGTGAATCGATTGAGCAAGTGCCAATCGCAGTCTGGAAGGTGCGTGCACAGAATCGCCGAATTGGCCTTTCTTACCGCAAAAACCGCAAGAAGACATGCGAGCCAAGAGCCGCGGCACACAAGTCTACGTTGAGATCGCCGACGCCCGCCATCTACTCCGTTCACAAGGGCATTCGACCACGGCAGCAACTTGCGGGGCCACTCGAGTCACACTTCTGTGGCTGGACACTCCGGGTTTACAATGTTGTGTGGCTACGAGAATGGCAGCAAATCAGGATGATTCAGCAATCGCTTTTGTCGGCTTCGTCCGACAGTTTATGACATCGACCAAGTGGATCTGTTATTCGGATTCGTCCATGATGTTGCGAGACAGCCGCGACGACATGTATCCTCGAACCTGCAAGTATGCAGTGTGAGCGGCACTAATCCTCCATGGTGTGGTAGCGTGGCGCAAACATGATGAGGCTTCAGATACGAATTCCTCAAGCGATCGCCCAGCATGCATGCCTCGGTCTGCATGTCTGGAACGTGGAACCTGCGGGCTCTCTACTACGTGCTGCTGCCCCGGCACCTGCGGTGCAAGGGATTCCGTCCATGCCAGCTTTGAGCAGAGACGAAAATACGCATGGCCCAGGCCCAGATCGACCTGCTGGCCACATTGAATGCCCTGCTGGTGGCGATGCCCGCCAACGCCGGATAAAGCTCCTGCGACGCGCCCTCCACGCCAACTTCTCCGAAAGAGTTGTACTTCCGGTTCAAGCGGAAGAAGTCCGGAGTTGCCACGGCCTCTGGTGCACGGCTGACAGGTGCGAAAACCAAAACCTGCGTGTGGGACAGCCCTCCAGGTTCTGAACTTGAGTAGCCGGTGCACAACTGTTTCTAGCGCAGGTCCCACGGCGGTGTATTGTTTGGAATGTAGACTCGAGACTGCACCTGGTTCGCCGCAAAGAATGTTAATGTCACCGAGGTGTGCGGAAAAGGGTTTGTTCGTCGTTCCCCGGTCGTCGTGACAACGTGACAAAAGCGTGCAGCCGCACATGCATATGGCATTTCACGTGGAGAACTCGAAACGGCGTGTTCTTGATGCCGAGCTGGATGCGCAAGGTGTGACAGTATTTGCAGCTCCTCGGTGGTTTTGCCGTGAGCTGTTCCACAGAACGTCAGAAACAGTCCGGCATGTGCGGACTACGCGCGAGAGACCCAAAACTTCATCGGAATCATCCGGGTTCGTGTCGTCGACCTTGTTCTTCTGTTGCGAACCATAGGAAGCTTTCCCACAGATTCAATTGATAAAGATGTACGGCAGTTGCATCTGTCAATTGACCTTCCCCCTCCTTGTCACGCAACTATGGTCGGCAGGAGTGGAGTCAAGCCAATTAATAGCTTGAGAGAAGCTGTGCTGTTGGAGTTGATGCTGATGCAGCTTCACTGATTCACGCCACTGTTTGCAAAAAGTTTTTACGCGTCGGGCTCACTGAGTGGTAAGTCAACCGGTATGCCATCGAATGTGCAGAAGCTGGGAGTATTCCTGCTGCTACCACCTCCTAGGCCTCATCCCATTTTTCCAGCCTCGGCACGTCTTTAGAGTCGTGGTGGATCGGACACTCCTCCTGCACCACACTGCCGAAGGGCTTGCAGGTGCTAAGGTTGTCGCAACCACCCGTGCTGGGCGCATATAGCCATTCGCCGCAAACTCAATGTCTGTGTGCTGGCTCTCGTCGTCCGGGACATACTGCCCCGGTTCTTTTACGCATTGCCACTGAAATGGACCTACGCGCCACCGTGCTGTCCGCCGGTGCGGTGAGAGCATTTGATCAGGTCCCCCACTATGCGATGCTTGCTTGCCTGTGTCGCTGCCCGTCCGCCAGATACACGCCTCCGACATCCTCCGCCAACACGTGCGCCACCGCCAAATCCCACGACCTCCGCCAGCTTGATGGAAACTTGCCGGGCGTGATCCGCAGACGCACGAAGGCGAGACCGTGTTGGCCCACCTTGACGACGTCTCTGTCGGTGTGTCTGGGCCAGTCCGCGAGTTGCTGGAAGCTTCCCGACGAGCTTTCTGGGAGCAGGCGTGAATTGCAGCGGGTCAGGACCGGCGCCGCGACAGAGAGTATCCCATCTGGATCGGAGACTGGTTTCTCGCGCGCCTGCCGAAGCCTTCTTGTATCTTCTCGTCTTCGGGACACCGCTCGCACCGGCATCTCGTCGCCCGATCTCGCCTGCATCCGCATGGTTGTTCTTGCTCCTGCTGCTCCTGACCACTTTGTTTCCCAGGGCAGCAATGTATGACCAGACGGGTTGGCTGGCAGCTCGCTGCGGACCAAGCATCGTTTGAAAACCAACTCTGCAGATGGAAACTCGTTTTGCTAGCCAGGTGAGCTTGACCTCGACCTCACATTTTCTCAGCAAAAGCCGTGGGCACAATCGCTGAGCGGTGCAGCACACCGTTGCCGGACCGCGGAACGTGAGGCAACCAGGGCTGGAGTTGCCCGCTCTACCGCCCTTGTCCACCTCGGTGAGCTCGCCGTGTGGCCGGACAGAGTTCCACCTCAGCTCCTCATGCGCCCAAGCCAAAAGACGTTGCAAGATGCCGCCGGCTCAGCTGCGAGTTGCCAGCGCAATTCCTCTTCACTTGCCCTTGTGTGATGGCGGCAGCACATACTACTCATCACCACTCCATGTCTCGCACAGCCTTTCTCAGCAACCTACACGAGGTCGCGCCGGGGCTTCTCCCCGTCGTGTGGTTCTTTTGAGGCCGACCCTCCAGCTACTGCTGATGAAACGTCGCAGGGGCATGTCGGGCCGTGTGGTAAGGGAAGGCTGTGAGCAGCGGGATGCTGTCCGCCTTCGCAACATGAAGCGCTCTGTCACCGCGATGATGGCCGTCCTGGACGACTTGTGGTGTCGCGTCCCCGGCAGCCTTTGACAGCACGACAAAGGCCATCGAGACCCACAGCCTCCAACTTCGGCAAGACAAGGGCCTTCGAGCTGTGTGGCGAGGGGCAATTGGACACCCCGATTTCGCGCATGCATTGGGCGGCAGAACGCATGCAGGAGCTCCAGGCATATGCAGCTGGCTCCTCCTCTCCATGTGTACGTTCGTCCGCGCCAACCATGCGCTCCGCACGCTGTCTCATTCTTTCTTTTCTCGGACCGTTTCACACCGTCATTTGCAGTCAGCGTTAGCACTTAACCTTCTCTGTAGGCTAGGCACGGCTACCGCGCAGTAACATGGCCACAGTGTACGAAAGGGTCGAGTTTCACGAGCCGGTGAAACGGCTTGGGCACTGCCTCGGCGGCACGAGCATCCGCCAGCAGGTCACCCAAAGGTGCTCCGTGCCGTCGCACGAGTCCGCTCCCGCCAACGGCAACTCAAGCAGCGAGTAGGCCAGCGCACGCTGCGCCGCCACAGCCAGCATGCCTGTCCATCGCACCACTCGCGGGCACGAGCCTTTGGCCTCGGGGGCTGGACCTGCCGCCAACTTCCAGGCCAAGGACAACACATTCACAACGGCGAGCGACTGCAAGCTCCGGGTAATGTGAGGGTTGTTTCAATAACCCCCCTCCCCGGAGGTTGTTTTGTGCGGGGGTCTCTTGGGGCCGGGTTTGGCTTGGGAGGTGGCAATGGTCAGCCTCCGTGTCGTAGTATCCGTAGAGTTAATTAGTGGTAATAGCAGCAGCAGCAGCAGCAGCAGCAGCAGCAGCAGCAGCAGCAGCAGCAATAGTGGGATACCCTTGCCGGCTGCCGCAGGGTGGGTGGAGTGGAACAGCACTCTGCGAACTGCTGCTTCAGTGAGATGTCTGAGGAACTGCTTTCTGCCAGCTGGGTTTAGGGTCTGGGTTTCCGTTTTCCTTCTCTCTAACATAATAATAAGCTTTCGCTGAAGCCAGGCTCTACATTTTTGGGCATTTCATTTCCGGTCCGGAATAGTGAAATTGTCACCCTGTTTATTAATATCACCAGGGTCTCAATAACTGTTTGGCCAGATCCGGGGTGATCTGGGTCCGGCGCCTACAGCAGTCTTGCAACGGGAAAGTGTGGGCCGGGCAGCAGTTCTCAGCGCCAGCGCGCGCGCA